CTTCTCTTATTCCTATTAAACATATTTTGGTGTGATACTTTGGTGTTTTCTTGTATACAAATCTAAATAAAATCACAAAAATAAATATGCAATATTATTTGGAGAATGTAGGCAATTCATATATAATTGATAACCAATCAAAATGAAACTAGTTTTTTTTAACAGTTGATAGAGAAAAGTGCTTTTGAGCACTTCATAAAGTATTGTAAATTAAATTTTGTAGGTTGATCCATATCTTAAAGTACAACACTCAGTCAGCCTGACCAATGAACAGTTCTTTTGGTTTACATTAAGTATCCCAATATTGTTCCTAGACTGTTAAGAAATGATATTGCATCTCTCTAATCCGACATGCTAGTCAGCAACTTAATTTTCTAAGATATGAAATCTTTATTTGCTTGGAGAAATCATTTCTAATAATGCATTCAAGTCTCAAAATGCACACCTAACCCCATTAGAGACAAGCTTAAGAATATTTTTGTAATGTATGTCTCAGAATTAGCTACAGTTATGGATTCATTTTTTTTATACTTATTTTAAATTTATGAGTAGAAGATGTATTAGCTACCAGCCTTTTCCCCTTCCCTTACTTTGTTCTAGATGGAATAAATGGATGCAATTGATTTTACATCATTTAACTTATCTTTTCTATTTATAAAGGCAAAAATAAAGATCTAAATGTGAATCTATGTTTTACTATCTTTTTTGGCATTTAAACCAAAGTGCAGAACATTAAGTATCAATTGTAGTTGTTTAAAACTCTCAATAGGCAGCTTTTTAAACAAATGGGCATTCCAAGAATAGTTATAAAGTGATTCTAAAAACAAACATACAAAAATTTATGTCTCTGAATGAATGCTATCCTTAAGGAAGTTATATTAAATAAATAGCAATGATACTGGAATAATAACATTTGGTCTGACAATGAGAGGCCTATATGGACTCAAAACCTGATTCTTCTTGCTACTTACAAATGGTATGATCTAAGGCAAGTTATTTAACATTCTATGCCTCAGTTTAGGTATATGTTTATGGTAGATTGTTACAAAACAATCTTGGATAAAATATGCCTCACTAAACGCATGTGCACTCCCCTTCCACTTTGAATTTGTGCTAGCCTTATGAATTGCTTAGACCATTAGAATATAATAGATGTGACATTATGCAAGTTCTGGGCCTAGGTATTATAAGGTTTTGCAGCACTCACTTTCACTCTCTTTAAATAAGACCACCTGCACCACGCTATGAAGATGCCCTGTCTAGCATATTGAAGGATGAGAATTCATGTGGAGAAGTTATGTGGTTACCAGCTGACAGCCGATAGCCAGATATGTGACCCTCCAGACTCAGTTGAGCTATCAGATGATAGTGGTCACATGATAATCCCAAGTGGCACCAGCAGAAGAACCATCCAAATTCTCAACCCACAGAATCACTACAAATGATAAATTGTTGTTGTTTAAAGCCATTAAATTTTGAGGTAGTTTGCGGAAGAGCAAAGATTAACTGAAGCACTGTGTAATGGGATAATAACATTTATCTAACAGGGTTTTTTTTGAAGATGAAATGAAAATATACATATATGCTTATAACAATTTTGGGACTCTATAAATGATCAATAGATGTCAATGATAATTATTATTATAGGATAACTCATTGAAAGAGGACAACACTAATAAACACATGCAAACTCTGGAATACAGTTGACCCTTGAACAGTGTGAGAGTTGCGAGAACCAACATTCCTCTCACATCTGTGTAATCAAAAATCCACGTATAACTTTTGACTCCCCCAAAACTTAACTACTATTAGCCTACTGTTGACCAAAACATAGTGTAAATTAACACATATTTCGTATATATATTATATACTGTATTTTTACAATAAAGTAAGCTATAGAAAAGAAAATGTTATCAAAAATCATAAGGAAGAGAAAATGCATTTACAATACTGTACATGTTATTGAAAAAATCTGCATATAAGTTGATACACTCTGTTTGAACCTGTGTTGTTCAAGGGTCAACTGTATTTGTTCAAAATCTGCGCATTCAGATATAAGAAAAGACAAGAAATAAGGACAAACACTCTAGTAATTTGAAACCTGGAAAAACTTACGAATATAATAATGATTTTAGTCAAGAACAAACTGGAGGACTAAAGACCATATCCACATAGCAGAATATTTTTTCTTCGTTTTTAAAAACTGTTGCATTAATTACTGCCATCTAATAATCAGGAAATTAAATGTAAAAATAAACATTTTCTTCTGTAAATATTTTGCTGACTTCAGAATTTTGCCACAATAGCCCTCAATCCCTCATTGTTAGCATTGTCTGGGGCCGAAGATCTCCCACCAGGCTGAAATTACATGTGCTTTCCAAGTCAGAGTGGACTCTGGCTTGTCACTCATTTAGTTACCAAACCGACCTCTGTAGGCATTTGAGTTTGAAGCCCCAGCTTTAAACTGAGTGTAAATAGACGGTTGAATCTATGTTTCTTAACTGTAAAGCTGTAAATTTCTAGAGTGTAAATCTTTAGAAAGCATCTATTTCATCTAATTTAGAATCAAGCCACGTAGCAAATTAGGCAGAGCAAGAGCTGGAGTGCGGGAATTCTAAATCTAGTTCCACGCTACTTCCACCTTGCTGTCTGAGGGCTAACAATCTGGCAGTTATGAGTTCATGACAGAAATTCATCATCTGGATAGGAACTCAGCTAGAGCATGATGATAGAAAATAGAGACATGTAATTATAATGGTGCCGTCTATTTCTTAGAGGTAAAACATAAAATATGTGACCAGTTATAACTTCCAGATCAATTAGAACTTTTTGCTTTTGTACTATATGTTGCCTAAAATCAATATTTGATATATGACTTCAGAAGCTTCCCAGTTACACATACCTAAGAAAGGAAGGTTTTCATAGGCTTGTCCAGATTAGATGAAAGGATTTATTCACTTCCAATCCTGTGCTATTTTTGAGAAACCGATTTTAGTAATAGTAAATTTAGGGAGAAAAATCAGTCTCAAGTAGGATTGGAGGACCTCACCATACAACAAAATATTTTTGAGCAGCCTGCAGGTACTTTTCTAATAAGGAGGAAAGAAGATCAGGTAATCAAGTTAGCTTACACCTTTCTCTGTATTCAGAAAGCATGGTGTTCCACTCCCACTGCAGCTCCAACCAGTAATATTTACATAGTAACCCCCTCATGACAAGAAGTTTCTCAAGATCAGAGATTATGACCTTTTATCCTTGAAACAGAGATGCCAGATAAACTTAGGATGCTCAATTAAATATTAATTTCAGATAAACAATAAATCATTTTTAGTATAAGTATATCCATGTAATATTTAGATAGTATTGGAATAAGACAATGATAATTTAAAAAAAAAGGAGTAAATTTAATCTGAAATTTAAATTTAACTGAGTGTCCCATTCTGCTTCTTTCTTTCTTTCATTTTGCTTTGTTTTTTGATAAATCTGGTAACCATACCTAGATATAAAGGACAAATACAGTCCTGCCATAAAAGAGATGTTCGATAAATGCCATTTGAATATTGCATGGTACTTTTTGCAGTTCCATCTAATGGGGTGGTGTCATGGTTCCACTAACCTTTTGGATGTCATCAGACTCTAATCTGACTCTAGACACAAATCTCAACACCCATAATAATTAAAACCAAAATAACAATGTTGTCTATATTTCTGCAGTGCCTTATGGTTTTCAAAGGTCAGAGTCGGTACTTGCTCTTTTTAAAATAAATTCCAAGTAATCACATAGTTAAACTATCATTAATAAAAAGAAAATGTAGAGTGTGAAGAATGCTTAGGTAGTTATAGAAAGATCTTCATACTTATATAAAGTACTATAATTCTGGTTCATATATTCTTTCTCACATTTTTTAAATCAGATCATTATTTCCCTAGTATGATTATGTTAATTTCAGAGGAAGAGAAAATAACTTAATTTAGGATACTGCTGGATGCAGGTGAACATTGATTTATTTTTCTATGTCACCCCATTTTTATGCCTTGCAATCTTCCAACTGCTAATTAAGACAAAGGACAAAATTCTATCCTTAAGCAAACAGTCTAGTACCCTTTTCCAGTCTGGGATGTGACAGACACCACACTTGAAGTATGCTTTTTTTTTTTTTTTTAGCCTTTTTATAGCATAATAGACTAACCAAATACACATTGAGCAGTCAGAAAGGAAGAATTATTTCACACTCCTGCTAATGCTGCTAGAAAATGTAGAAATACTCCTTTTAATTTTTTACTCTTTAGAATAGCACACAGAAGGCAACCTAGCAAGTATTAGAATTCATAATGCCATCTATCTGTTGAAAATGTATTCTAATTCATTAGACACCAAGATATATTATACATTTTGCTTAGTTTGCTAGTTATTTTCTATTGCTCTCTGTTGACTTGAAAGTAAGAAATTAAACAGCAGGAAAAGTAATGAGAACTAATTGTCTTTTCAAAGAAATGTGCTGCTTTTTCAGAATTTTAGAAAATCTCCAGTAATTCAAAAGTACTATAGAATGCTAGAATAAGAAAATACTTACATATTAATTTGTATAGAGAAAACTAATCAAATGACACCTGTGAGTCTTAAGGACTATGTATTTCTTCAGAGACTAATATTGCATTCTGCCATTTAAGAGAAAATTACCTGAAATCAAAACCAGAAAATTCAATAAGCTGAAGACAGTTTATGGCAGGATATGATAATCTGTGAGAATTTTGTGACAATGTCACCTCTTTGTGTTACCAATTTCGAGTCCTCAGGCTCTCTGTGTAACAGAAATTGACAACAGGCCAAACCAGAAACTCAGACACGTTAACCTGGGCTTTCCTCCAGCACAAGTCAGGCAGCATGGTGAGAGAAGCAGTTTGGGACATTGTACAGTGCGGAGTGAGAGGAGGTTTGACGTCTCCTGGGGTGATCCTCTCCTTTATTCCTGATTATGGTGCTTGCGCAGACACAACCGATGCCGACGTCCTGGCGCATGCTTGGTATGAACAAGCTGGCGGTGCTGCTCAAAACTGTCATCCCTGGAAGGTCGCATAGGGTCAATTCGGGGTTGTGTGCGCACACAGATGTGAAAGTCAACGGCCTGGGGGATGTTTTGCGGTTGGAAAGTTGTGTATCTGGGCCTCCTAAAGTTGCTGAACAGGGTAGTGCTGGATCTGGCGGTTAAGGGATTGGAGCCAGCCCTCTCATTCTTTCTCGTTTGTGCTATGCCCTAGAGTTTGTCTCACCTTTCAGAAGTTAAATGTTTATCTCCTAGTCGTGGTTGTCTCAGAACTGTGCTCTCTGTTAGAGACAGTTCAAAAATATCACAAGTAGCCTTCTGACATTTTTACATATACATTTACACATATAATATATAGTATATATGTATGTATTTATATATACTATATAATAATATATATTTATATATTTACATAAAATGTAGTATATACAATATATTACAGATATATAAATATGTACAATTATATATTGTACATTATATAAATTTCTAAATTTAAATAATATGTTCTCCTTATTGCTATCTGCATAAACCGTTTCTACTTGTCTTCCAGTAAAGTGGAGTGGCATGCATTGAGTAATTGAGTCAAATCTCAATGTTTTCTCAAGATGAGGACCAGGTATTTTTGTCTAAGGGTTTGGAGCATCCTGCATCCTCCACCCTTATCAGAACGGTGTTGCCATTTTGACAGGAACCGCGATGGAAGCCTTTGGGTAAGGAGTACCACGCTGACAGATGTGGAGCCAAGAGAAAGCCATTATGCTACACACAACACATTCTGGCTTTACTGCAGGTTCTTTGAATTAAAGCAAATGCCTAAGAGTAGAAACCCATAGTTTATTGTGATTTGTATGTCCTTTTTCCAGCCCTACAAAAAATAAAACTTTTAACCTAAAAACATACATAAGGAAGCTTCACTTACACTCTAATTTGAAGATTGTCACCATTAATGTTTTAATGTCTTCCCCTCCTTTGCTCCCTCCTACATCAGTTTATCATCTGAATGTAAACATTTGCCTTTAAATTAACTTAAAAAAATTAGTTCAGAAACTTTAAGAGTTTCTTTAGAAAGTGGAGCTCAGATTTAATTT